GGGCAGGAGTAGTGGGGTTTGTTGGTGGTGGAGAGACATGTCTGTGAACCTCCTGGTTAACAGAGAAAGGGGCTGCAGGTCCTGGGTTGTCAACAGGCTGCAGGCTCACCATACCCACACTGCAGAGAGAGGGCTCAGGGCCTGTAGGCTGAAAGCTAACCACCTCTGGAGCGGGAAGGGAGCCAGCAGGCTGGGAACCAGGGGGGCTAATAAAATCAAAGAGGAACTCTGGTAGTGAGCCCCACAGCCAGGGTTTTTCTACAGCCACATCGAGCACGAACTTCAAAAAAAAGCTGTTTGAGGCGGGGATCATCAGCCTCCTTCCAAAGTCCAAAGAAGTGAATAATGTGGTCAAGATATTGATACAAGTCCTCCTCCTCAAAAGGATTTATGGGAGATGCAGGCAATGAGTCCGGGCCAGACTCTGTGTCTGCTGGGTTCATTCTGCGCCGGATCATACTGTCACGGGGGGCAATCGGGGAACCCAGGAGCAGACACAGATCAGGCTGACAGGCAGGTACAGTGCAAAAGGATTTTAATAAGGCAGAAACAAAACTGAAAACTAAATACAAGGGTGCAGACTAAACAGAGTGGGAAACAGAATGAAACAAATAGACAGAATTTTTAAAAAAAGGACAAAACTACAAAACCAGAGAAAACCCCTACTAAGAACAGAGGGGGAAACCTAACGGATTCTAAGTTACAAAAAAACCAGGAAAACTCACACAAACAGGAATACTCACTAAGGAGGGAAAACAGACGTGGCAGACAGGCTCAGGGAAATCCAGGGAGAGGCAAAGTGGAGACTAGCAGAAACGTGCAAATGTAATGTCTATGATCCGGCAGCTTGTGGTGGAATGAACCGAGTATTTACAGGAGCAGTGGTGATTGTGTGCAGGTGAGTCCGAAGTTGCAGCTGAGGGTGATTGTCCTGATTAGAGCCAAGATGCACAGGGGCAGAGAGGGAGAGGGGCAGAGAGGGAGAGGCAGACAGGAGGGAGAAGAGAGGGAGAAAAAGAGGGAGACAGGCAAGGGCTGGGGGGTCATGACAAATTTAGAATCACCAATTAACCTCAACATGTTTTTGGACTATGTGAGAGGAAGCCAGAGAACCCAGAGAGAACCCACGCTACACGGGGAGAACATGCAAACTCCACACAGAAAGATTCTGGGTGTCCTCACCGGGACACAAACCAGCAACCATCTTGCTGCAAGGCATTGGTGCTAACCACCGAGTCACCTTGCAGCCCACACCTGACAACTAGAAATGTATAAATTGAAAGTTTTTCGTCTTATTGTTAATACCTTTTAAACACCTCATAGTCTCAGTAAGTGATATTTTTTCAGGAGACAAGATATGCAATGAATAGTGTTGGAGGAAATTGGAAATTTTTCTGCTGATTATCTGTCTTGAAGCTCTGATTCTGATAGGAGACGTCACATAGGAATTCTGCGTTTTCTTCTTTTCTAATAATAGCAGATGTGGGACAATGTCAACATGTCATTAAAGGCTAAAAATGAGTGTCTCAGTGAAGGCAGAGAACAAAAATTCAGCTCAAACCCAATTTGGAACTAAAAGCTTTTTCCATTCTCCTGTTTTTTTTTTTTACAAATGCTTTTTCACTAAACAAGAACGGAGCAATTTTAAACCCAAGCAGGCAGAGCTGCACTCCGTCAAGTGTTGAAAAAGAAGACCAGAAGAGATAAAATCAATATTTCCTTCTTCTAATTGGTTGAAGCGACGTCGAGACATTTAGCCCCTCCAAAAAAACTAATCTCCAAGCTTGTGAAGACATTGTCCGACGTTTTTCTTTCAGATTTATCTTGCTGGATTAATTAGGCGAGTTAATTACCCGGCATTACTCTGCAGCTCTAACTGTGGACACACTTACACACATACACACAGACGTACTACACAGATAGAAATCATTCGCCAAACTGAGAACATTAAAAAATCTGCAGCAGTCAGGCTCACAATTGTGTCGTCCCTGCTCATCCATGTCAGAAATAAAGAAAAGAAGAGAAAGCAAAAGACGGCGTATGATGGAAAGCAGTTGTTACAGCTGTGAGATAAACAGTCTGAACAATTAGTTCTGCAGTTTTGGTCCAAACCAGATAAACTGGAGGCAAAATGCATGAAAACCACAATAATAATGTTAATTGTCACTGGTTAATTATGTTCTCAGTGAATGGGAAATAGTTGGCTGGACAATATTTTTGCTAAAAACAAAAAAATAAAAATGGCCATTGCAATTTCTCTACAGTTAAACTGAAAAATATTTAATTTAACAAAATAGGAGCCTTGGAAAAACATCAATTATAGCAATTAATTACTTTTGAGACACTGTAGTAACACTTTTTAAAAATGATGATACTGTTATTTTACATTGGACATATAAATTCAATGCATTTTTGTAATTTAACATTAAAAAAGGGAAAAATTCAGTGAAATTGCAGATTTTTTTTTTTTTTTTACAGTGCAGGAAATCATTGCAAGTTTTTCATTTCATGACATTAATTTGCCATATTCAGTCAAAAATAGTTGCCAATTAGTTTTCTGATCATCAACTAATCAGTTAACATGCATATGATTTTGTTTTTTGTTGTACTGTTTTGCATCCTATCTATGTAAATACAAAATCATGACATTGCTTTTGAATTGTGGTTCAACAGAAATAGAAAAAAAATAACAAAAACCAAGCAAACAAGCCTGATGGGACCTGTAAACTAATATTTTTTTGAACAACCCTTTGAGCCAATCACTGCAATCAAGTGTTTTCTGGAACTTTCAATCAGACTTCTGCACCTGTTGCTCATCAGCAAAGTGCTCTAATTTGTCTGGGACGGTTTTTTAAAAAAAAATTATTCTTTTCAGCCACAATTCAAAAGCATTGTCTTATTTCAAGGAATTAGAATTAAGCACATTTTTATTTATTATTGCTTTGTTCAGTTTCTACTTATTTGAATGACTTTTGTGAATTTTGCCTTTTCTTTAATGGAAGGGTATGAATACATTTGCGGACGGCTGTCGGTGTCTATACAGTAAACTTCTCACATGTGTGTTACTTCTATCAGAGGTGCTCTGTTCTGTTGTATTTGTGCAAATAATAACGTGTCATCTGCATCTCTTCTCCTCTCCAGATATCTACTGCTGTGGTTTGCTGAGCACCAGGAAGAGCGACTGCACAGGTTTACCACAGAACATGCTGGTTTGCGGCTCCACGCCGGCGCAGCGCGGCCAATCACGCGTGATGATGAAAGGCAGCATGTCGCTGATCAGCTGGTACAACAAGGGACACTTCAGGTTCCTCACCAACGCTTACTCCCCGACAAAAGAAGGTAAAAAAGAAGGCTGCTTTGCATGAACAAAAACTGATTTCTGCCAAAATTAAATCAAATTTTATTATTCGTAAAACTTTTAAAAGGTCTTCTTTTGCACAAAATGCATATATTTCGAATTCTAACAGAACAAAATTACAAAGATTGTCCACTGCCATTAATGAGAGTTTGTTTAGTGACAATGAGATTAGCTCAACTGTCATTTTTTGATTCAAGTTACCATCAAGAGAAATTGGCACATTGTTAAGCATCGGTGTCACTGAGAATCAATGAGGAGCTTCTAATCCACAATAATCCGTTTCTAGGAGGCGACATGATCATGATTTCCCCCTCCTCTTATAGCATAATCCACTCTCGATTAAACAGTTTTGTCGGCTTTTAAAGCGAGTTGCGGGCAGCGTTGTGTGTTTGTGCTCTTTGAATGAGGAGTGTGGAAGTGAAGCTCCACATCGGTTCAACTGTTTTCATCTAGTATTGATTTTCTTTCCCCTCTGATTGTGTGTGGGTGTGTGTGTGTTTAAATGGTTTTTCCTCTGTGCTTAAAGAACAAAATAGTTTCCAATCCCATCAAAAAACAAATCCCAACATGTTTTATTGTGCAGCGTACAAAGAAGCTGTTTCACAATGAGTGATTGTTGTGTGGGTAAATAATAAGCCTCTGAATCCCAGCAGGTTCTGGGCGTTCTTTGCTCCTGTCACATTTTTACTCACTGTGGGCTCATGTTTTGATGCAATATGAAATCCTGCAATCCTGGAATCAGCCTGTACAACATTTTACCTACAAGTGGTACCAACACTGGAAATACAGTCATGACTCGATAATCCGACCCTTAACAATCCTAAACCTTGCTATCCAACGGGTTTTTAGGAAAAACAAACGGAACCCATTAAAAATATCCTTAACATACCGACAGCCTTGGATTCTGACTCCAACATGACATTTTATGTCACAAATAAAGATAACGGCGTATTATCTGACTGAACAATCTGACAGATTGGCTACGTTCAGACTGCAGGACTTAATGCTCAATTCAGATTTTTTTGCGAGTTCGTTCACATTTCCAATGAAATGTGACTTGTATATGATCTGCTGTGTGAACTTCATACGACCCAAAAGTGTCCCGCATGCGCAGAAGAGGACACAATGACGTCACAATGGCGAGCGTTCTCAGTGTTTACGGAAATAAACACGGATGGTAACAATGGAGCGTATCTGCCACTCCCGCACTGCCGCCGTCGATGGTGGAAACAGAAGTGTGACCGCTAACTAAACTACCATCAGCTGCCAAGTACTGCCTGTGCATTCCGGCCACTTCCACCCCGGGGTGAAAGTGTCCCCCCCGACCGCACCAAATATTTGGATATTCATCATTAATTGGGCCTGAACATCCAGAGACCAGTAAGTGCTATTCAGACCAGCCCTGCTAGTTATTATAACAACAATAAAGAATAAATATTAACAACAAATCACCTTTCAAGCATCAAGCCCTCCTTGTATCTCGACCTCCGTCTTGACAATCCGACAGCCTTTCTATCCGACATGAAAGAAGATTTTACATTTAGTGTCGGATTATCGAGTCACGACTGTACTACAATCCTATGAATACTTTAATACTTCATTTCATTTGTTTCCATCATTATTTCCTAACTCGCCATGCAAACACAGCCTGCAGTTCAGCCTAATTTAGTCAAGGAAGAATTTTTGTCACGTTGTCATTGTTCACAGCTCAGTCACTGATGGCTCAACTACTGTGCAAGCAGTGCAGAATTTTTTGTTTTTTACAGAATCTGGTTAAAGCAAATGGTTCATTTTTGGGTTATGAGTAGTTCATGGACTTTTGGTTGTTTTTTTTTTTTTTGGTGACATACATTTCAAATCCGCCAACCAGTTATGCTGATTAAAGGATTAATTATTACTTATTATTCTCCACTCTCACACTTGCAAAGCTTCATTCTCAAATCATCCACTGAAGAGTCAGGCCGCTTAAATACACACAAACCAGACGAACTGGACCTTTGTAATGACTACTTTATCTGGGTTAGGAAGAATAACTCTCTAACTACTAAATGACCAATTTGTCAGATAATCATGCAGAAATTAGTGCTCTCAAAAATCAGATGAGATGTTTTTCTAGGTCAGTGACAGCCCAGAAAATTGGAGTGATGCATGCTAGCTCACCGTCACGGCTTACTGGGACTTACGAGGAACGGAGCCACTGTTAATGTTATTAGTCACAGCTGTGTGCTTCCTCCTGTGACGAGTCCAAATTACCGCCGTGAAACAGACCCATTAATCAAAACAGCCCGTCAAAGACAAAAGAACAACAAGACAGGAAAAACCAAGCTAAAAACACGAGGATTAATGAAGGACACACCTATACAGCCTCCGTCTGCTCTCCCTTGTTGGGCTTTCGGCCAGGTGACCTCTTGAGAAATTGACTCACATATGTCGAAACTTGCTGCGTGTCTCACTGTGGGTTTGCTGTTTGTGGCAGGTATGATCATCAAAAGGAAAAGCGGGGAGATCCCATGTCCTCTGGCTGTTGAGGCGTTTGCAGCGCACCTCAGCTACATCTGCAAATACGACGACAAGTACAGCAAGTATGTGAGACGTTGAACTGAACAGAAGTTGCTTCGAGAAATGTTAAGATTTTTGGGTTTTTGGTGACTAGAAGCTTGAATCAGTACGATTTCAGACATACAATCACATATTCTGCCTAAAGACTGTCATTTTTAAAATGAGAAATACATACTTATTCCCTTACAAATGAAACTTTTACTTAAAAAGCAGTAAAACACAGTCTTGTTTGTTTTGCAAATGTTCCCACTGTGGCGTTCATGAAGGGTTATCATGTTTTGTCTTCCATAAACAGGGATTACCAAGAAATAACCTTGTTTGACTATTGACGCTCAACATACCCTGTATCTAACAAGCATTTGCAGAGCCATTCCCTTGTGGGGAACCATTGATTAGTAGATTGACAATTACTTTGAATATTGATTAATCTTTTACATCACCTTTCAAGCTAAAGAACAACAAATAAACACTCATTTTCTCTTTCCAATGTCTCCATTTCGAACATCTTATTAATTCGGATTGTTGCTTGGACAAAGAAAGACATTTCCAATCATCAACTTGAGCTTCAGTTTTTACCAATGATATGAACTTTAGATGTTGTGTAACTGACCTCGCTGAGTCGAGTCAAGCCAAGTAGACTTCATTTATATACTACTGTTACTACTATACTACTTTAAAACAACCGATGTGGATCCAAACTGCTTTCCAAGAGCGAGATAAGCTTGACTTTGCGAATTTACCAAGCAGGTTTAGATATTATGGTTAAAACCCCACAGTAGTATTTATTTTGTACATTTATATAAATATTTGAAATATTATACTTACAATATTAAATAAAACGTAACCTGAATAATTCAGATTTTAAGTGTAAGGCCATACAGTGTTATATGAAATAGAAACTTTTCTGTCTAATTTAAACGTCAAGATCTAGGCTCTAAAATATTATATATAACTGAATTAATATGTGGGTTAAGATTCTACAGCATTAAATAAAAGATAAATTTACTCAAATAATTTCAATATTAAAGGTGAAACCATACAAAATTATATAAAATACTAATTTACCCAAATAATTTAAATACTAAGGTTAAGACCCTACGCTATTACATAAAAGATTAATTTACTCAAATAATTTAGATAATACAGTTAGGACAATACAAAATTATACAAAATACTAATTAACCTGACTTAACAAAACAGTAAAGTTAGGGCTACAATATAATATAAAATAGTAATTTACCTGAATAATTTAAATGTTGAGATTAAAATCATATAATAGTATGTAAAATACAACTTGACCAGACTAATTTAAGGCATAGATCCTGCAATATGATGGAAAGTAGAAGTAATTTAGCTGAATAATTTGCATATAAAGGCAAAGACTTTACAATACAACATGAAACACAAGACAACCTTAATGATTGAAATATTAAGACTCTACAATATTATATAAAAGACAAATCTATCTGACTAATTTAAATATTAAGGTTCAGACTCTGCAATAGTTTAAAATGCAAACGTAGCTGAATAAATATGGAGGTTTGACCTGAAGGTGTGTGCTGTTTTCCTGTTTTCAAACACCTGTGTGGCTGCCGTTCAGCGAAAGTTGCATCTTCTCACTATAAGGCACAATATTTACAGTGTTAGCATTAGTCATTCATTGAATAGGAAATCTCTGAATAGAACTCCTGGAGTAAGCAGCCATCTCTCCCACACAGGTACTTCATCTTCCACAAGCCCAACAAGACCTGGCAGCAGGTGTTCTGGTTGAGCATCAGCATCGCCATCAACAACGCATACATCCTCTACAAGATGTCCGACGCCTACACAGTCAAGCGCTACAGCCGAGCGCAGTTCGGAGAGAGACTGGTCAGGGAGCTGCTGGATCTAGATGACTGCTCCCCCACGCAGTGAGGAGGTTGATGAAGACAGAAGGAAGCGCACTACAAAAAAAAAACAAAAAAACAACACAAACACGATCCCCACGCATATACATTCACACTCGGTTGTACAGACTCTGCGGTCTGTGTCTATGTGATAATACTGAAGCAGTGCCAAGCCTATGTCTCTCTTCCTATAGTTGTTTTTTCCTTGTGGCTCTGGTGAATATTCATTAACACACAACTGCGCACTACTACACAATAGAGAATCATGAGCCATGGGACAGTTCACATGCCTCAAATGCAACTATTAACCACACAGATTTACTAAGGATTTGTCTGCAGGAGCTTATTTCACGAGCAGAGACGGAGGAAGGGACACCGAGACGAGGAAGATTTCGCTCCTGAAATGATGTCAGCTTCAGGTTTTAACCCCGTGTCAGGGAGCGAGATCGCACACGAGCCCGAGCGAAACGAACCTCGAGCGTTCGAAGGCCGAAGAGGCCACATGTAGCTCAACGCTCCCGCTCTGCAGAAACACCTGTGGCCCTGTAACAAAAGCTTAGTAAACCGGGACTACGGTGTGTTCGCGCGCTGCATGCATTAAGAATCTGGATTGTGATGTTCTATTGTTCAATGTGAAAAACTGCTCCAGGTGAGTTTTGAACTTTTTTTTTTTTTCTTTTGGTTTCGTTTTGTGTGTGTGTATTTTTAGTAAGTGGAACTGCCATTCGCGACGTTGAGCCTGAGGATGTAAATGTTTGGCTATTGTGACCCAGATGTGTTGTGTTGCTGCATACTGTGCTCGCTAGAGGAAGACTGTCGGTTGATATGAAGCCACACCCAGCAGTGTGCCACCAATTCAAAAAGAGCCCCGAATAGACCAAAAAGAAAGTCTTATAGCCCCTTAGAAACTGTGTTTACATGTTAAAGTGTTGTGATCTCAGTTGAAGTGAGGAAAACTCATTCTTAAGTTTTGTTTTTAAGAGGTCACGACTCAAAAACTGCAGATTTTATTCAAATCCCGCTGATTTTTAACTGAAATACTCTCGTTCTCTGTTCCAACTTTGGCAAAAAATGTGGAACCCATGCGAGAAAATAGGCTTTCAGGGTCCTGAACAACAACATCTAACAATAACCGCAATCAAATCTAAAGCTTGCCTTGTACCAACACTTTTATTTGGCAGAAAGACGTGTCCTATTTATCTGTCTCGTTACAGCTAGCTGTACTTTGGCTTGGCAGGGGAAGAGGACGTTCAAAATCTCCTCGGTTAAATGTTCAGTGTTGCTAGGCAATGAGTTCAATCTTGGCCAATGGGCAGGGGTTTGGATGATATTATTTGGCGAGATTAAGGTCCAAGAAGGGAAAACAGAATCACTGGGGGGCTTATGGGATGTCTCGGAAAACTAAATGTTGCACCAAATCTTAATGTAGATAGCAGGCCGGCATCAAATAACTGAGATTACATTTTAAAAACGTCTTTTACAAAAAACATGATTTTATAACTAGATTTTTAACACTTTCAAGTTATAATACTTGCTGTCTGGTATAAATGTCCTCAGAAAAGTCACCTTTTTTTTCCCTTCAAAGCAGCAGCGTGGCTTCCATTTTCGATGTGAACGTCGCGTTCTTCCACGTTTCTTGCCAAGTTAACAGATTTCGACCCTGCCACGTCTTGTCCGGCCTGAGTAGGTGTGAGCAGACAGGCGAGAAACGCTTGGAAAAAAAAAAATCACCCAATCTGCAACCACACTGCTGTCTGTGGCTTTAAGACGGACCCCCGAGGTCCGCGCTCGCCGTGCAGTCAACATGTTAATGTCACGCTGGAATCATGTCATGAAGATTTTAAGTGAAAGGTTTTGGTGTGCGCTCGCTCCATCAGCATGGTTCGATGTTACAGTTATGTGATGACAGGCTGGTGAGTGATTTTTCCTGGCAGGACTCATGCACTTTCTCCTCCCCCCGCCCCCCCTCCACCCTCCTTCCACATCACAGTCTTGCACTTTGAGGAGAGCTGTAAAGTTAGCGACATATTTATTAGATAATCCTTTTGATTTGAAGAGAAAAAAAAAGATGATACTACACACTGCTCTCATAGATGAATCCTGTAAATAGAAGTAGAAATGGATTATATGGAAATACACCAATGAAATAAGATTGAAAATTATAACCAAAAGAGAAATGATTTCCACTGTAGATGTAGGCGACAAGGTTACAGTATGTCTGTGTATATTTTGTTTACAAATTACTGTGAGTGTATGTCCATAGTCACTCTGAGACTCAAGATTGTGATTTTTTTAACTTTTTCACTAATCCAAAGCATTGTCCTTGTTGTTGTTGTTGTTGTTAATCTCCTATGTGTGTGTGTGTGTGTGTGTGTGTGAGCCACTGAATGTCATTTGCCATGTGTCTAATCACCACTAAGTAACGCTCTTAATCTTCGGAGGCACTTCTGTCACGTGTTTGTCAACTCATGGTTTTAATACAATGTTTGATATCGACAAATCACACGTTCGTCATCATATTGTTGAAATGAAACTCAGCAAGCGGCCAGTGTGAAATTAAAGTACGAATCCCCCCACTGCTGAAACACCAAATGCATTTCCATCCACCTGTTTTTATTGCACTTTTCCAATTTGCGTCCAAAGAATGTGCTCAAATGAAACGAGTTTCAGTGCCACATATTCCCATCGTGTTTTCCCACAATGTTCTCACTCATCCTTTTAATTACGCCATCTTGCCTCTTTGCCCTCTTTTCTATTTTTTTTTTCCTGCAGTGGTTTAACGGCACCCGACTGGATAATGAGTCCCACCAGCCGATGTGGCCCAAAACTACTACTAACCGCATGAGAGCAGTGGATGGAAACGCATGTTGATACTGGGGTTTTGTTTGACTATTTCAGTTCCAATTTGGCCAGAAACTTGACTCTTTTCGACACCATTTAGGGATAAACTGCTGTAAAAAGCTTGTGTTTTACTGCCCTCTCTGGTTGAAGTTCTGAATTCACCCCTCTGATGTCACCGACACACCCTGGAGCACACTTTGTACCCCTGCAGCTCAGTGACAAGTTGAATCAGAAAATACTAAATTGCAAGCTTTTAAGCTGCTCTTTAAAACTAATGCACCACGCAATTATTGTTTTTTTTTAATGGTGCGTTTTTCTCCCTTCCATAAATAACAGGCTGAATTTAGACTCACTTCTTGTGCAATTACTGTCATATTTGATATTTAGCTTCGAAAATATCCCCGACAAGTCCCCGAATGAAAGAAGAAAACAAGAGCTTCCCTCTCCTTTCAACGATTTCACCCTGACATTTAACAATCGTGCAAAAGTAATCCATCACATAAAAGTCAGGGGAGCCAATTTCTCCGCTGAGACTATCGTCAGAAAGCCTCAATGCAAGCGTGAGCGAGGGTGTAATCATTGCTAAAAGAAGCAGAAAGCAGGTTACGGGAGAGTGAATGCGGCAGACAAATAAGTCCAGGACTGCATCACAAATTAGCCAAGCAAGAGTATCCTGGTGTGAATTTTTCTTGTCAGTGTGTCATACGTGTATTAAAAATGATCCTCTGTGATGGCTGCCTTCGTAAAAGGTCGTCTAATCTGGAGCTACACACAAAAAGCGTGTGTGACAGAGGTTCTGTTATATCAGTCAGCTCAGACCACAGATGAGGAGAAATTATGCACTGGGGACGGGGCTCTGCAAGGCCACGGTTACTCGGCAACAAATTATAAACGAGTGCAAGAGGCAAAAAATAGAAAAGAGGGGCAGTTTTTTTTTTGAAGTTGTTCTGCCCGTATTGAAATATTGTTATCACCCCAGTTGCAGAAAGAGAGCTGAGGGGGCTTCATGCGGTTTCCTTTTCATCATCTATTAGAAGAAAAGAGCCGCGGATCTTTCCCTATGATGCTTTTGTTATTTCACTTCAGAGGAGGCTTCCATTGTAGCCCCGACTAGATCAAAAAACATGGTGTCATTTTAAATTCTCAGGTTGATCTCTGATGTGATTTTAGAAAAAATCTCCTCCAGTTACTGTGTTCAGCCCTTTCTATTGATCAGCCATTCAGATATTTCTACAGTGCCTTTTACTTCTCCTTTATTTTTCCAGTGGTTCCGTGTTGTTGACGATGGGTTGATGTGAATGAGTAGAACAGTTTAGATTTTAAAATAAAAGAAATAAAAATCTGTCCTTGCATGTTGTGACTTATAGAGACTAGAAAAATAAACTTCCACAGTAGAGATTTAGATGCTGAAAATGGTTTATGCAGCCCTGTGCTCTTGTCCCACTGCTGTAATGACTCAAGTTTCTCATTTGCACCCAGAGTGGTGCCGCTGGGAGTCAACAATGTGAGGTTTTGTTTTTTTTTTAACACATTTCCAAAAAAACATCGACTTCTTTGTATATCGGGTAACTTCACCTGTTCCTATGATAATAATAAAGACACCAGTGATGGATGTTAATTTGTTTTTTTTTGGTTTATATGGGTAAACTACTGTGTAGGAACCTTGTTCAGATGGTTGACTTAACATCCCATTGCCTATTATAGCCATAAAACAAGGTACAATTGCAAATATTAAAAGGTCAAACTGTCACCAAGAAGAAAATATATCAGGTTAATGGGTGTAATTACAACAGTGTGGATGTTTCATCTCCATTTGCTGAAGTGTCTAAAAGCTCCCGTTTATGCTCATTCATTTCAACCACGAGGACAGAAGTATTTGTCCAAGTTTTTTTAGGCGAACCCTTGTTAAAAATGTCAAGTTATTACAAAAGGATTCCACTGTCGGTTGTTTTGTGGTAATGCATTTTGTGTATAAGATGATGTCTGTGTGTGTGTGTGATGTGCCATCCCTGTACAGTGCTTCGCAGATGTCTGTCGTCACGGGAGACGGTTGTTACTCGTA